TTACACTTTACTTTATTATAATTTACATATGGACCAAGGCTTTGTTGCAAGTAAAAATGATCACATGATATATACTGCTGTAAGATAAATGATTCAATATTTCCAATTATTATTATTTTATACATTAAATGCAGAGATGACCAAACTGCAAATTCAGGAACAAAATCTTTTTTTTTTTCTTTTTAATCAAACATCTTTAATTTGATTGAATATATGCATGCAAAATAAGAAACATACAGTACATGGGTTGACAATGCTGATCTAAAAATTCTAGTTACCTGATTATGATGCTCACCTGCTGGCTTTGAAACTTTCTGAGTCACTGACTTGGATCACGTACAGGTGAAACTCGAATAATTAGAATATCGTGCAAAAGTAATTGCAGTAAGTGCTGCAAAAGGGGCCCAAACCAAATACTGAGTACATATGCATGCTTGTACTTTTCAGAGGTCCGATATTGTTCTATGTACAATCCTTGTTTTATTGATTGCATGTAATAATCTACTTTTTTGAGGTTGTGGATTTGGGGTTCTTGGGGTTTTCATGAGCTGTAAGCCATAATCATCACAATTATGACAAATCACGGCTTGAATTATCTTGCTTTGCATGTAATGAGTCTATCTCATATATTAGTTTCACCTTTTAAGTTGCATTAGTGAAATGAACTTTGCACGATATTCTAATTATTCGAGTTTCACCTGTATGCAGAGTGGGACAGTAATAAGTCCTTCTTTGCATATTTGTTATGTGTCTTTAGCAAAGCATGGAACCAAGGGCATCAGAATGTTGTCTGTGGAGCTCACATTTTCTGGGGGTCAGAAATGCATTTTCTATGTTTCAGAGGGATCTCTGATGTCATTCTTATAACTTGCTGCCTACTTTTGCTGGTTCAGAGATACAGAAAGTATGTAAAGGATAAGTGCAGTTTTACATAAAGTGCACTTAACCTTTCTGCCCTCCTGATCTAAAATAACCTACCCTCCCATGCCTCAGATGTATACCTACTTGCATTTCATAGCTGTGGCCTATGACAATCCTGCCGCCTTCACCTTTTCAACATCCCTAAAATACGTCCTTTGCTAACTAATGAAACTACAAAGCTGCTCATCCACTCACTTGTTATCTCTTGTCTCATTTATTGCAACTCCCTCCTCATTGGTTTGCCTCTACACAGGGTATCCCACCTTCAGTCTATCATGAATGCTGCTGCCAACCTCTTCTACCTAACCAACTGCTCAGTGTCTGTAACCCCCTCTGCCAATAACTCCACTGGCTTCCAATCGCCCAAAGGATAAAAAATTCAAAATATTAACAACCACTTACAAAGCCATCTACAACTCTCCCCCAGCTTTATCTCCAACCTTGTCTCAAAGTATCACCCTAACCATCCCCTCCTCTCCTCCCAAGACCTCCTGCTCTATAGCCCCATTGTCAACTCCTTCCATGCTCGCCTCCAGGACATCTTCAGAGTCTCTAAATCTTTGTTACTCACTACAACAACCTGTCAAGCTATCTCCTACTCTGTATTCCTTTAGGCGATCCCTAAAGACTCATCTCTTCAGGGAAACCTATCCCACCTCAACCTAACCACTGAACTATCACTTTTTCAAACAATTCATCCCCACATAGCTAACACCTCTTGTGTCACTTGACCCTCCGTTAAGATTGTGAGCTCTAATGGGCAGGGCCCTCCTAACCATCTTGTCTTGATTTGTATTCTAACTGTAACGTCTTCCTTATATTGTAAAGGTCTGTGCAAACGGAATAATAATAATAATAAAGTTGTAAGCCAAGATATTTGCACTGGGCGCACTTGTGCAGTGAATTCCCATGGGTTTCTGTGCAGCCATCTTCCAGCTTAGAAGGTGGGTTCAGTTAAGTATACATCTGAGCCATGGGAGGGAGGATTACTTTAGGTGGGTGGGGTGGGGCAGAAAGGATGCACCTACTGTTTAATTTAGAAAGAGATAGACAGCTATTATTTTGTTATTTTCTGAAGGGAAGCAATAGTTGTTCCCACATATCAGGTTTTCAAGATGAACTTGCATTATAATTTCAAAGAAGAACACAGTATTTATATAAGATCCAATATCAACCTTAAATAACACTATGGCCTCCCATTACAAAATAAAAATGCTCTCTTAGTCCCCCTGCAAAGTTCCACAAATACCTGTTGATCCTGCTAGTGATGTCCACCTAATGCAGCTTGTATGGTCAAATGCACTTGTTAATAATCCTCTTATAGGACTCATTTCCCTCCAGCTTTCCACTTGGCATCCAATCTCCGTTGGAGTTGAGTAAAAAAAAAAAAGAGTAAGAGTCTCCCATGGTGTAAAACCAGCAAATACATTTATTTAAAGAAAAACAATTTAAAAACACTCACATGCCACAGTGCTATACAGCACTGTTACAATCTTTTGTATGTACACCACTGACCACCCAGCATAACCTAATGGTGTCAGCAAGCCCCTCCCACTCTATGCATTATGTCTGAATCGACTTTCTCAGGAAGCAGAAACTCCACTCCTTGTGGATTGTTTGGCTTTGCAAATACCAGTTAATGAAGAAGATTATAGAACAATATTACTATTGATATGTGGACTATAGTAGAACTTGTTTTTAGGTGGTAGCATTGAATGCATTATTGATTCATGCCACAATGCACAAGTTGTTTTTTTTGGGTTTTTTTTACGGTACATAGTGTGTATATTTATATTTGAATAAGTTAATGGTGTGTACACAATATTGGGAAGCACATTATTAGAGATAGGGTAAAGTTATCAGTGCAGCATACCTTAGAAAAAATAATTCTTGTTATTATCTAAAAGATAACCAGCAATGCAACTTAGTATAGGATTAAGTAAGAACACAAAATTACCTTGTTTTGACTAATACGTTTGCAATATACTTTTAAAAGCTGAGTTTGCCTTGTAAATAATGTCATCCTTTTGTATATGTTCAAGCAAGCATTGCTTTTATTGGGCTATCTGCTATTTGTAATTTTATTGACCGAAGTTGGAGATTCCTGCTAATGACGGTGTGGACCACTTGCGTCCTAGCAACCAACGTTGCTCTGTTTTTGGTTGCTAGGGCACAGGAGGTTGTGGCTGCACAGCATCCTAGCAACCAACTCCAGACAGCTTTCAAACTCTAAACAAGCCAGATGGCATCCTGGTTGATGTCTTTGACCGTATATGGTCACAGCCATCTTTGGCCATTGATGTCAGCCAGCATCCCAGCTGGTTTGTTGAAATTCAGCAGCCGTTGAAGAAGTTGTCATTTGTTAGAGTGCGATGGGAGAGAATTGCCGCTGGAACATCGTTCATCATAATTGACAATGGATTCAAATTGCTGGCTGAGATGATTGAAGTTAGATTTGCACCATAGGGCATGTGTGATGAGAGTCCAGTGGGAGAGGATTACTGGTGTGGGTCATCGTGTTTATGTCAGTGGGCAGAGGTTCATCATGACTGACATTGGATCTGTTTCGCTGGATGACGTGATTGACCTTCTCGAAGGGTGTAGGTGTTTGTTTACTACTTAATGTTTTATTTGTGAAAGTATGTCTTATTTATTTATGTGGGGGAAGGGCCAGATATCTGAGGACCCCTTTTTTAAAGGGGCCTACCCACTTCTGATAAATTCTTCTCAGAGACCCCCATATCCTCTGAGCCGGGATGTGTGTAAGAGGTTCTTGCCTTATCCGGGCCCTTCGGCAAGATGCCCTGCCATTATTGAGGACTTGTGGCCTGATATATTTCAGAAGGGGAGCCGCACACTCCCTCTCCCTCCCTTTCCAGGCCAACCAGGCAGCATGCCTAGTATGGATTTTGGTGGGGACCCCCTCACTTTTTTTTTCTTTTTTTCAATGGGATTTCCCTTAATATCCATACCAGACTCTTATCCAGGCATGCAGCCTGAGTAGTTAGAAGAAAATACAGCAATAGGCTTGCGCCCCTCCCGACTCATACCAGACCACCTGCTCTGCAGTAGAAAAAAAAATTACGTGTATGGCACGCGATGCCTTTTTCACTGGAACCTCAGCTGTAATTGACAGCTCATTAGGCTGTAAATTACAAAGCCTAATTAGTTCCAGAAGGAGCCAATCCATGTTGCTTGATTTGGTGACTATGCAGGGGAATATGGAGGTGACTCTTCTCTGTTAATGTGTTTTATAAATACAGTGCATGATTCACCACTAACTGCTAGGTAAATGCCACATTCACTGCTTTATAAATATGCCCCTTACACTTTTTTGCTAAGACAAATAATAAGATTTAATTCATTTTATACATTTCAAAAATATCTTCTAGTTACATTTGTACATGAAAGGATTAGTTCACTTGGGCAGCTTAGAAAATTGGAGCTTCCTTAAAATGCCTCATCTGTATGCCAAGCTCTGCTCCCAAACCGCCTGGCTGTAAAACTACCATTGTGATATTGTGAGCAATCCACCACATCCTGCCTAGAATGTGGGATGCAACAAACATTGAGCACGCCCCTCCCCCAACTATAATAGGAATGAGCGCTTTCCCTCTTTCAGGCCTATGCATGCACAGTGCGCTCTCTCTCTCTCTCCCCGTCTCACCACTGGTTAAGCTCACCACTGCTGTGATGTGGGGAGAAAGACCTGTCAGATTGTTTACAATTATAGTTTTTCGGCCAAGCTGTGGAGAAGCAGAGCTTGGCCTACAGGTAGGGCATTTAAAGTAAGCTCTAATTTTGTTAAGCTGCAAAGTGTTACCACCACGGGGATCTCTTGACTGCATAGCACTTTTTTTTAGAAAGGTGAACTAACCCTCTATGTATTCCTAAATTATAAGGGAAACATATTCTATTTAGATTTTAAATACTGTAGCCCTGCTTTGCCAATATTTTGTTAACAGTAAGTTCTCCTCATTGTCTCTGTTAATATCAGTTTTTAATATCAGTTTTTCCATAAAATACATTATGTACATATACTGTGTAATATTTAAATGTCTACAGTAGAGACAGTTATGGTAAAAATGTCCACTTGTCCATTAAAGAGGAAATGGCTTTTGAACACATTTCAACATGAACCACTTAGACATGTGTTGGCGGTTGTCCATTTTCTCCAGTATTACGAAAACTTCCGTGATATGTGGTAGCGCGAAGGGTATAGGAGTGGCCTCGCAGTGATCCATCAGGTTGGCTGGTTTGTAGTTTGTCCTTACAGCTAAAAAACAAGAGAAATCCATTTCTGTAGTTCTTATTCATCCATCCATACAGCAGAGGGTTGACAAAGGTGGAGCACATAGCAATGACATGAAAGATGGAATAGAGAAGCTTGTACTCCTGGAAAACAAGGCCGCAGTCCAGGTCTATAGCCACCTGAAGGACATGGAAGGGAAGCCAGCAGACTGCAAACACAACCACCATCATCACCAGCATCTTAGTTGTGTTTTTTCTTCGTTGGTGTGTATCACTTCTGGGTGTTGGGCTTATATGATTCTTTAGCTTCAACCAGATTCTCATATAGCAGTAAGAGATTACCACAAGTGGAAGAATGTATTGTAGAAGAAGCATTGACACACTGTAGATGGCAGCATCTCTACTGTTATTTGAGGGCCACTTTTCTGTACATACAGTTATTGTGAGATTGATGGTTGGTAAATCCTCGTATCTATACTCCCGGAAGATAGCAAGGGGAATAGCAAAGACGGAAGCTGCCACCCACGTGATAGTAATAATTAAGAAACTAAACTTCTTGGAGATCCGACTATTGAGGTGGAAAACAATGCACCAGTATCTATCTAAAGCTATAACAATCAGGGTGAGAGTGGAGATGTAGACACTCATTGCCTGGGCATAAGGAAGCAGATGGCAGAGCACTAAGCCAAATTGCCACTCATCCAGCAGAGTGTAAACCAGGGTAAATGGCAGGCAAAGACTGTCCACCATGAGATCTGCCACTGCCAAATTGGCTATGAAATAGTTTGTTACTGTCCTCATGTTTTTATATTTTACAATCATATAAATGACCAAGGAATTCCCAACAAGTCCCAATAGAATAATTAAGGAATATGCCATAATGAGAATCACCTGAACTCCCAGAATATTGGTGCTGTCCATCATGAAGCTGGTCCCATGGAAAGACTTTATGGGGTTAACTGTACTCTTTGAGAGCCACCAATTTGAGCCAGGCTCCTGTGTCATGTTCGTTTGCTTTAATGTTCCCATTTTTGCCAAAAACATCCCTTGGTTTCACCTAGAATTGAATTAAAGAATAATGACCATTAAAAAGAATATGGAAAGCAAACATTGCATTGCCATTTCATTTGTCTCTATAAGTATAGCTCAGTTAGCAGTCTTTGCACACTACTATTACAACATTATTATTGTATTTGGCACAGAAGTATGGTTACAAATGGAACATCTAATATTTGACACCAAGGCATATCAGTATTGATGGAGGCATGGTGCAGAATTGGTTGCACAATGACCTCATATGTAAACATATTTGGCCACTGTTAAACTTGATTTTCATGGACACCAGCTTGACCTTGAATCCAGCTGACAGTTATGAGCAGATCTAAAATGACCACTATAATGGCATCATGTAGGGTTGAAATGTATTTCCTGTTTCTAATATCTGGAATTTAGATAGGGACACAGACCGCAGTAAAAACCTGAGAGGTAAAGATAGGAGGCACTGGATCCAAAGGTAGAATGATCACACAACATGAGTATGAAATATATTGAAGAGTACAAGAATGGGCAGTGAAGGAGAAGCCTCAAACTGAAGAGCTTATCTCTTTATCACTCTGCTCTCTCCTTCTTTCACCACATCCAATGTTAGCACCAATGAGCACTAATGCAAAACTGACTGGCTTCATGTACTGGTAAATTTAGGCACCAACACTGCTTGTATTATACACTTGCAAAATACATTTAATCATGTATAAATGAATACAAATTGCATTAATGTGTTTCTTTTATATCTGCTCTAAAATAAAAAAAAATAATAGAAAAAAAATGAAAAGAAAAGGTGATGGACCCATTAATTTTTTAAGTGTTGCTGCAGCATTGAGCATACATCTCCTTTGACATAGGCAAACATAAGATGATTCCTTTGTTGGCAATACTCCAAGCAGACATTGAAATGTTTATTCACAATGAGCCAGGGCACATTGTCTACTTGGGAGAGGCAAGTAATATTTATACATCTTCTTCTTCTGGCCATACAGCTAGCGAAAGGTCTTTAGTGGTTGGTAACTTTATTTTCTAAATAACCCCAAATTGAAACCTGCAAACATGCATGTTCCTAGCTTTTAAAAAATAATACACAGAATCTCTGAATCTTGCATTGCAAGATTTGCAGATATCATAAAATATACCTCAACCACTATTACACTTTCATATTTTATACATTATTTATCATTTAAATAATTGCATACATCTATCGACCAATCATACGATATTTGTTGGATCTGACATATGAATTCAGTCAATCCTTTGCAATAATGTAAAATAAGTTATAAATTGCTATGCATTACATAAGTTATAAAAACACATATCTGCAATTGCTATTTTTCTGTTATGTATGTCCCTGGGAAAATTAATGTTTAATGTCAACACATTTCGAGGTGAACTATCTGCTTCATCAGAACAGGCAATTATAACTAGAATCCATAATAATTTAATATAACAAATAATTATCCTTGTTCGGCATGTCATCAACTTTTAACCTCCAAGGTACCCTATAGCCTTGGTTCTCAACTGGTGGGTCGTGACCCAAAAGTGGGTCGCGACCTCATGTTCAGTGGGTCGCCTCATGCCTTCCACTTTTCTAGGTGAGAGCCTTCTCAGCCTCCCCCTAGCGCAGCACTGTCATTTCTCATGCCGAGCAGCCATTCAAAGTATTCTACCTGTGTCAGCTTGAGGTTGGGGGGCTGGAGCTGTGGCCGCTAGGGAGCTCTGTCCATACAAGCATTGCTTACAGCTGCCCTGTAGAGGTGCCTAGACCAGAGTGAGGTCTCATTCTGCCTCCCAGTACCTCTGCAGGGTGCGCAAGGGAGCTGTACAAGCAATGCACGCATGGATGGAGCCCGAGGAGAGTCATGGATGCTACGTATTTTATTCTACTCATGGTTGCCAACAGGAATGGGATTGGACGAGGAGGAGTGATAGTGTAATGATTACACACTAGCGGCTTCAGCAGCGATAAATGCAAAACATTGGAGATATGCATGCTAGAAGGGAGGTCAAGGACGTACGCAACCAGGTTAACCTTCTGGAGAATACGGAAAGGTGCAATAAAATGGGGTGACAATTTTGGAGCAGGCATTCTGAAGATGAGGTTACAGCATGACAGCCACACCCCCTCCCCAACCTGGTAGGGAGGAGTAAGTAGATACCTACGATTTTCCTGGAGCTTTTATCGTTGCATAGAGGCATGAAGGGAATTATGAATCTGCACCCAAGTGGAACAGATCATCCGAAGATGATCCTTCAAAGCTGGAATGTTCTGAGGCGTAAAAGATTTGTGTAACACAGATGGCTGAAATGCGTAGTTAGCCATCAATGGGGACATTTAGGAGGACGTGTTGTTAGCACTGTTCCTTACAAACTATGCCCAGGGTAGCAGATTAGCCCAATTGTCATGATGGTCCCAGACCTAGCAGCGGAGGAATTGCTCCAGGGCTTGGTTGGATTGCTCAGCGGCGTCATTGGACTACGGATGATAGGCCAAGGAGAAGGAGAGTCGAATTCCTAACTGAGTGCAAAAGGCCACTAGATCCTAGAGGCGAACTGGCTACTTTTGGAGAAACGGTCGACAATCATTAGTGTAACAGTATAACTACGAAACACAGGAAGGTCAATGATAATATCGAAGGCTAGGTGGGACCAAGGACATTCCCCATTGGGAATAAGTTGTAGTAGGCCCACAGGGAGTTGCTGAGGGGATGTGCTTTGGGTACGAATGTAACATGCACCCACATACGCAGCGACATCAGTGCGGAGAGACAGCCACCAGAATTAAGGATAATTATTTACCAGAGTGACCAGCAGTCTTATGTTAGGTTCTCAACAGTTCAATGCATAAATTCTCAGGTACAAAACACTTATCGGATGGTTTCTCGGGAGGACCATAGGTTTACAAAACACAGGGACCATGGGGAACAAAAGTAGCCACTGTCCAGAAGGAAAGACAGTGTCAGCATACATTCAGAGATGGTTTGAGGATCCACAGCTGAGTGATGCACAAAAAAAGGTCCAGTATTAATAATAGTTAAGGGATTTGCATTTTTAAGATTTAGCTCCTGAGTTTAGTGTCCCTTTAATGAACTCCTGGAAGACAGCAGGAGTGTTACAGTAGATACTCGTAATGCCCACTCTTGGTGTTAAATGCTGTCCTCCACTTGTGGTCCTCCTTGATCCTCACGAAATTATATGCACCCCTTAGAATGAGTTTTGTAAAGACCATTGCTCCCTTGAGGCTGTTGAATAATTCTGTGATTAAAAGGAATATAGAGTAGGCATTCTTGATCGTGATACGATTGAGGCTCCTATAATTAATACAAGGTCTCAACTCGCCACCCTCGCCACCCAAAGAAAAAGCCAGCTCCTGCAGGAGAAGTGGTCTTGTGGATGAACCCCGGGTAAATCACATCTGCAATGTACTCCTCCATGGCCTTATTCTCTGCAACAGAGATAGGGTAAACCCTGCCACGAGGAGGGACTGCACCAGGCTGCAAGTCGATAGCACAATTGTAGGGACGATATGGCACAAAAGTACCAGCACTCATCTTATCAAAGACATCCTGATACTCCAGACATTTGGTAGGCAATGTGGAGATTGAGGAAGTACAAAGTAGCTTAACCGGCCTTTTGATGCAAGTAGCTTCAGGTTATGTTTCTCAGGCCATGGGGAACCCACATCATTGATTCAGATCACCCCCATGTTTCCCACTCCCCATTTTGGGGGTGGGGTTCCTCCTTAAAATTCCTACCAGACTTTAAGGGTCTGGTACAACTTTTGGGGGGAACTCCATGCTTTTTTTTCTCTTTTATTTAAATGGGGTCCCTCCTAACATTCCTACCAGACTTAAAGGGTCTGGGGGTCTGGTATTGTTTGGGGGGGCGCACACTTTTTTTTTCTTTATAAATTTCACTTTTTGCTGTAGCAGTTTCTATACATCATACAGGCAGTTTAAGGGGACCCCTCAGGCACGATATTTAAAGGAATTTTACTTTTTTATTGTGTCACTTTAAGCAATGTTAAAATCACTGCTCCTTTAAAAAATATGTTTTTTACAAGTTTTTTTTTCGTTGATACGTGTCCCCCAGGCCAGTACCCGACTCCCCATACCCTTTTTATGGCCAATCACTTGCATATAAGCCTTCAAAAAGGGATATTTGATTTTCAGAGTTCTAGTCTCATAGACTTTCAATGAGTTCAAAGTTCGAACCCGAACCGAATTCAGGTGTGTTCGGCCCATCACTCTGCATGCTGTGCTCAAAAAGGTAAGCAGAGGAGAAAGTACCAATCAGCAGTATTGCCTGTAGGCTCCCTGCAGCTGATATTTTCCCTATTACTGATTTATCATGCCTTGTTCTGCACTGTGTCTCTGTGTGGGGGTAGCCATCTTGGTGGAGGAATGGGGCTTGATTTTACATGCCATGGCTATCCCCTGATGACTGGTGATATGATAAAATGGTGGGGAAATATTCATGAAGCAGCAGAAGAGGGACAGAAAGCAGTGGTCCATAGAAGTTGTTGTTGACTGGAGTGCAGATTCCTCTCCAGCAAGTAGCACAGGGTTACTAGTGACATCACCAAATTCCTCAGACTAACTATTAGAGCCAATGGAGCCTTAGGTGTTCTCATACTGCAGACATACAACTATAAGACTGTAGGCACAGGAGTGCCTAGGTACACTAGGATGTTGACTTCTATTTTTCCGGAGTAATACAAGACAAAAAGGTCGATTTTTTGCCTCGTTCACACAGGCAGCAAATTGATGGTAAAAATTGGTGTCTAGCGCACGTTTTTCCTGCCCCCCGACTGCCCACTTTAAACCTAACATAACAGGCGCTCAGGTCTGTACACATGCTGCAGCTGCAAAGCTTTTTGTCCTGTCTGTGGCAATATTTATACAGCATGTAGCATTTGGCGGATGGTGCCATTTACCAAGTAAGTCCATTGCAGTCATGCAACGTGGTTGCGGAGCAGTATTGCAATGCAAAATCACCCTTAAAATTTTC